CTTTCAGATGAGGCTGCGTGAAATCCAAATGTACCGTGATGCTTACTCATAGCATCGCCAAACTATTCTTTATCAGTTTTCCATTACCTTAAGCGCCCTAGGGCAACTAAGCGGTGAGTCTAAGATTTATAGTTGAGCCTTTAACTGAATTAGAGGCTTAATTTCTCTAATCAAACCCATTCTGCCTCCAAAATAGTTTCCCATGCAGTTTCAAATTCGCCTAGGCCTAATCAACAGATTCTGAACTAATTATTTCCTTAAATAATAGAATGTGATAGACGCAAATGCTTGGCCCTAGAAAGACGATTAAATAATTTAGATAGATGAATTTTGCCTTGTATTTATATATAAATCTGGCAGAACTTAATTAGAATGCGCTATTTTTTGCAGGAATTGTGCCCAAATATTCTGAAAATTAATTCACTGGAAGTTTGTGACAAATCGCATCAGTAAACTAATTGTTAAAGTACATCTTCAAAATAGTCAAAGAGCATCAGACTACCGGTGAAATGTGCATTATAAATAAATCTAAATTATCTTTAATATAGACTTACTTGTGAACTTTTGAAATACACATTACCTTTAGCCTTTAAAGTAGATTATATAAAGAATGTGATGGATTCGATAATAATTCCGAATCCGACGACCTTTCAAAATTTCAATTAAGTCTAGAAAAATATTTCGATTAATGAAAATCTAGTATTCATTAAAATGCTATAGTTATCTCAATTAATAGTTTCCGTATGATTTGAACAATAGACTGGTAACAATAAATGTAAGGATGAACTGCTGCCAATCAAACCCATTAACTCGAAGATGCAGGAAATTTAAGAACATTTAATGTATATTTAAAAAAATAAATACAGGACGACCCACTAATCTATTAATTGGTATTGATCAAACTAAAATAGATTCCCGCGTTCTAAAAAGATAAAGAAAAACCCGGTTCACATAGGCAAAGTATTTTAGTGAATATTTATAAGAAGTAACGTGCCTATTCGAAAGATATTATTGTACATTCTAAGTAGATACTTCAGTAAATATAACCGTGTTCGAACGTGGCATACACAGAGCTCAAATGTTTTCAATGGACCCCCAGAGGCTGCACAGTTAAGGCATAAAAACATGCAAAAAGATTAATTAATTTTGGGAAGAGAATCTGACTGTTCGAATTATCATAAACAAGCGTCGAAAGAGACAAAACGTAGCTTCGTGAGTAGTTCAGCGAAATCAGAAAATAAAAAAATTAATATTGTGTGACTGAATTTCAAATAAAACATGATGAAAAATAAGAGAAAAGGTGCTATATATTAATGAGTGGGTAAAGAATATATAAAAGAATAAGTTAAGTTTTCTGTTCTGTACTAAAGCAAAAGCTCAGGTAAAGCCTAACATAAGTCTGTCCGGATATAATTCAATCATTATGCTTGACAAAAGGTCAGTGAGGGTAAATGAGAGGTAACGCGCAAAACGTTAAGTAACAAAATAGATCAATGAAGATAAAAAGTATGGAGGGATCTAGTTACAGGTTCTAATGTGCGTCACACTTGTAATAGAATACCGGTGTTTGTCTATTAGTACAAATTGGATCATTCTTAAGGGTAAGGTGATGATTTAATAAAACATATGTAGATAATTTCCATCCAAACACAGCATTCGATCCAGACAAAAATTCATAAAAGTGTGGATAAAAAAATAATCAAAAAATTTGAGGATACGATAGGAGTAGCCGCATAAGGGAGCTACGAATCAGAAAAGTGAAAAGTTACCCATTCATATTATTTTACAAAATAAATTCAGAAATTTGCGGTTAAATAGGGGTATAAATATAAGGATAATTCAACAAATAAAAAAACAAAAAAAATTAGATACATAGGGAGAAAATTACCTATGAAAAAACATGGTTTGAGGTCAGTGAGGTAGAGATAAGGAACTGGATGAAATAAAAATAAGTGTCTCGCCATAAACAAAGAAAGTAAA